GGGGGGGGGGGGGGGCCAGCAGAGCATGGCAGTCTCACTGAGAGAAGTTGGGGTTCAGGGAGACCAAGGCAGCTGAAAGTTGCAGGACAGTGCTCCAGAGAGGGGAGAGCTATGCAGAAAGAGAGCTCCAGAAATCTGCACAGAGGTTCCCTTAAGTTTTTGCTGAATATTAAAATTTGTGCATGCACGGAATGAAACCCCATGAGGCTGAAAAAAGAGTGATGAAGTAGCTGTGAGCTGAACAGTGCCCAGAACCCTCACAGGTCTCACAAGTCCCAAGCACCAGAGTGGAGTGTCCTCCTGCTCACTCAGTAGAGACCAGGAAGGGCCACATCTTGGTGGGGGAGTCAGATTATCCCTAGGGTAAAAGCAACCCTAGATCTACCCTAAAAAGCTTAAAAACAGGACTTGAAAGAATCAAAATGAACCAAAAGGAACTTAAGTACCCACCAGAACAAAGCTCAACACTCTGTAAGGACCACGAAATCCAGAGCTTCAACAATGTAAAATTCAGCCTCTGGCATCCAGTCAAAAATCTCAACATATGTCAAGAAGCAGGAAAGTGTGATCCATAATAATAAGAAAAATCAGAAAAAATAATTAGGAGGCAAGAACATTAAAACAGTATTATAACTTTATTCAAGAATTTAATTCAAACAAGAATATCAAATCATTATGTTGTATACCGGAGACTAATACAATGTTGTATGTCAATTATACCTCAAATTTTTAAAAAATCATAATTTAAAAGAAAACACAATCATAATGAGGAAAGAAATATAAGGTATAAAAAAAAAGTAGAATACATTCAGCGGCCACAGCCACTGAGCAGATCGGACTCCTCTCGGTCACCGGCCTCACTCCCCTTCCTTTGCAACAATGTTTGACAAAACTGATATGGCTGAGATTGAGACATTCGATAAGTCAAAATTCAAGACAGAAACACAACAGAAAAATCCACTGCCTTCAAATGAAACGACTGAGCCGGAGAAGCAGCAGGCGAATTGTAATGAGGCAGCACCACCAATGTGCACTGTACGCTCCACACACACTGCCTCTTATTTTACTTCTTTTAGCTGTTTAACTTTGTAAGATGCCAAGAGATTGGATCAGATTAAATGACTGTGCTGCCCCTTTTCACATCAGAGAACTACTGACAAGGAAGGCTGCACCTGCCTGGCTGGCTGGCAGGGAAGGAAAAGAACTTGCATGTTTGTGAAGGAAGAAGCTGTGTGGGATGACAGTGAAATCTAGAGTAGAAACCAAGCCGGTCCAAAGTGTCCTGCAGGCTGTAAAATGCAGTTTAATCAGAGTGCCATTTTCTTTTTGTTCAAATTATTTTAATTAATTGGAATGCTTGATTTTTTAATACGCAAATAAAGTTTTCAAATGTGAAAAAAAGAATATAGAGATGAAAAATATAATACCTGAAATAAAAATTTCACTGAATGGAATGACAGCCGATTAGATACTGCAGAAGAAAAGGTAAGTGCACTTGAAGACATGGCAGCAGAAACAGACCCAAACGAAGAACAGAGAGGGGAAAAAGACTAAAAAAAAATTTTTGAAGCAATAATGACTGAAAATTTTCCAAGTTTGATGAAAACTACAAATTCACAGATCCAAGAAGCTTAACAAACTCTCAGCAGAGCAAACAAAAGCATATTAAAGCACATCATAATCAAACTGCTAAAAATCCATGACAAAAGGAAAATCTTATAAATAGCCAGAAAAAGAGAGAAGCATTACCTACAGGTAATTGATCAAGATTAAGAGTGACTTCACATTTCTGATCAGACTATGCAAGCCAAAAAATAAAATGGAATAGTATCATTAAAATGCCCATGGGGAAAAAAATGTCAACCTAGAATTCTAAATCCACTGACAATACATTTCAAAAATGAAAATACCAGATGAAAACTTGATCTACAGAAAAGAAAAATCCCAGAAATTATGTATATGATGGTAAATATAAGCAATATTTTAAATATATATTTTTTTGTTTGAAAAAGATCATTTAAAATGTACTGTGTGGTTTATGACACGTGGAAGTAAAATCAATGACACTAATAGTATAGTGGATGAGAGGGGAACTAGAAGCATACTGTTGTTAGGTTCTTACATTATATATTAATTGGTAGACTATCATTTGAAAGTAGTCTGTGGTAACTTAAATTAACATATTATAAACCTTAGAGCAATCACTAATAAACAAAAAACAACCAAAAAAGTAGAGGTACAGTTAAACCAAGAATACAGATAAAATGAAATCCTGAAAAACAATTCAATCCAAAAGAAGAAAACAGGGAACAAAAAACAGATTTTAAAAATTGTAAGATGGGACTTAAATCCAACCATAAATTAAACACTACAATTAAAAGAGATTGTCAGACTGGATGAAGGGAATGGAGGAGGGGCAACAAGACCTAGCTGTCTAGGCTGTCTATCAAAAAGCCCACTTTAAAGAAAAAAAGCCAAAGAATGGAAAATGATATACCATGCAAACACTAATCATAAGAAAGCTGCAGTGGCAATATTAATTTCAGGCACTTCAAAGTAACAGATATTGCCAATGATAAACAGGGACATTTCAAAAATAAAGGGGTCAATCAAGAAGACATCATAATCCTGAGTAAGTATGTACACAATAACAGAGTTTCAAAATACATGAAGTAAATCAGGCAGAATTAAAAAGATAAGTAGACAAATCCACAGTTACAGTTGCAGACATTAATAATCCTCTCTCCTTAACCAAAAGTCAGTAAAAATACAGGAGGCCTAAAAACACTGTCAACCAACATAGCCTGACATTTGTAGAACACTCCGACAGCAGAATATACATTATTTTCAAGTTCATAAGGAAAATTCACCAAGACAGGCCACAAAACAAATCTCAAATTTAAAAGATTTGAAACTATACAGAGTATGTTCTCTGGCCACAGCAGAATTAAACCAGAAATCGATAACAGAAAAAAATCTGAACAAATCCCAAATATTTGGAAATTAAACAACAGACTTCTAAGTAATCTATGCGTCAAAGAAGAAACCAGAGGGGAACTTAGAAAATATTCTGAACTGAATGAAAATGAAAACACAGCATATCTAAATTGTGGAATGCAACTAAAGCAGTGCTTAGAGGAAAATTTACAATTTTAGGTACTGACTTTAGAAAAGAAGGTAGAAAAATAAGAGCAAATGAAACCTGGAGGAATAGAAGGAAATAAATACATGATATAAAAATTGCAAACAGAGGAAAATCAATTAAATAAAAGCTTGTTTTCTGAAGACACTAATTTCCAATATTATAAATGGAAAAGAGGAAATCACTACATTTCTACAAACACTTAAAAGATAATAATGAAATATTATTAAATACTTTAAAACAACAAATTTGACAACTAAAATAATATGAACAAGTTCCTTGAGACACAACATACCAAATTGACACTAGGAGAAAACAGAAAAGTTTAATAGCCTTATATCTACTTTAAAATAATACATAATAATTTAAAACAAAAAAGGAAAGAAAACTATAAATCAATATCCCCTCATAAACATAAATCTAAAAATCCTTAACAAATACTGACAAACCAAATCCAGCAATATATAAAAAGGATAATACATTATGACCGAGTGGAACTCACTGGACACATGCGAGATTGGTTTAACATTTGAAAAATCAATCAACATAAATCAAAAGTTAACAGAATAAAGGAGAAAAACAGTAAGATCAACTCAACAGAGAGCAAAAGGAGCACCTGACAACACTCAGTGAATTAAAAATAAAAGTTGAATCTCCTCCACTTGATAAAGGGCACCCACAAAAAAGCTATAAGCTAGCATCGAATTTAAATGTGAATGACTGATGCATTTCCCCCAAGATGAGAAACAGAGCAAGACTGTCTCCTCTCATTACTCCTTTCTACATTGTACTAGAAGGCCTAGACTTATGTACAACACTGCAAGAAAAATAAAAGCATATATTGGAAAGAATTAAAGCTGTTCCTAGGAATAAACTTAACCAAGGATGTAAAAGACCTGTACTCGGAAAACTAGGTGACACTGAAAAAAGAAATAGAGAAAGATTTAAACAAGTGGAAGAATATACCATGTTCATGGACTGGAAGAATTAATATCATTAAAATGTCCATACTACCCAAAGCAATTTATAAATTTAATGCAATTCCTATGAAAATACCAACAGCATATTTCACAGACCTAGAACAAACATTTCGAAAATTTATATGGAACCAAAAAAGACCCCGAATAGCTGCAGCCATCTTGAGAAAAAGGAACAGAGTGGGAGGGATCACATTACCAGACTTCAAACTGTATTACAAAGCCACTGTAATCAAAACGGCCTGGTATGCGTACAACAACAGGCATATAGATCAATGGAACAGAACAGAGACCCCAGAAATAGACCCACACCATTATGGTCAGTTAATATTTGACAAAGGAGGGAAGAGTATCCAATGGAGTAAAGACAGTCTCTTCAATAAGTGGTGCTGGGAAAACTGGACAGATACATGCAAAAGAATGAAACTAGACCACCAACTTTCACCATACACAAAAATAAACTCAAAATGGATAAAAGACTTAAATGTAAGTCATGAAACCATAAAAATCCTGGAAGAAAACATAGGCAGTAAAGTCACAGACATCCCACGTAGTGGACTTTTCACTGATACATCTCCTAGGGCAAGAGAAACAAAAGAAAAAATAAACATATGGGACTACATCAAACTAAAAAGCTTCTGCACAGCAAAAGAAAACAGCCTCAAAATACAAAGGAACCCCACGGTCTGGGAAAACATATTTGCCAAGGATGAATCTGATAAGGGGCTAATTTCCAAAGTGTACAAAGAACTCATAGCACTCAGCAAGAGGAAGACAAACAACCCAATTAAGAAATGGGCAAAGGACCTGAATAGACACTTCTCCAAAGAGGACATACAGATGGCCAAGAGACACATGAGAAAATGCTCAACGTCGCTAATCATCAGAGAGATGCAAATTAAAACCACAATGAGGTATCACTTCACACCTGTCAGAATGGCTGCCATCAACAAATCAACAAACGACATGTGCTGGCGAGGGTGTGGAGAAAGGGGAACCCTAGTACACTGCTGGTGGGAATGCAGACTGGTGCAGCCACTATGGAAAACAGTATGGAGGTTCCTCAAAAAATTAAAAATGGAGCTGCCTTTTGACCCAGTGATTCCACTCCTAGGAATGTATCCTAAGAATCCTGAAACATTCATCAGAAAGGATATATGTACCCCGATGTTCATAGCAGCACAGTTTACAATAGCTAAGATCTGGAAACAGCCCAAGTGCCCATCAGTAGATGAGTGGATAAAAAAGCTGTGGGACATTTACACCATGGAATACTACGCAGCTGTAAAGAAGAAGAATCTCGTACCCTTTGGGACAGTATGGATGGACCTGGAGAATATTATGCTAAGTGAAATAAGCCAGGCAGCGAAAGACAAATATCACATGATCTCGCTTATACGTGGAATCTAAAGAACTT